ATGCATGCATGCATGCATATGTGGGGGGGGTGTATGCATTAATGCTGATAGATGCATTAATAAATATTAAATAAATAAAATATTCAAGGAAGCATATTAGATGTCTGTAGTCTTTTAGAAGGCATAGAGAATAATTTTAATTCTGTAGAGCACTTTGTATAAGTACTGCATGATTCTGTTTTGATTTGCATGCTTCCTTCCCTTTACTTACTGTAACTTTAAGCTAGCATATGGCTTTAGCTAGTAGAGATATAAATAATAACCAATCTCAGTGGCATGTGATAAAATTTGCATTTTATCACTATTTATGACTTCGTCCTTGGTATACAATTTCCTATCATCCTGGACTTGGATTATAATTCCTGTGCCTTTACTTCTGTTTACTCAGTGTGTTGTTTTCACTAAATTCTGGCACAAACTATTGCAGGACAGCAGTAATTTATGTGAAGCTAAATCCAATGTTTATGAAAGCTTCTGATGACATTTTAGACAGGGGTTGGTATTAGGAAGCCGTATGTGGAGGTGCCAAGTCTCCCAGCATGGCTGGGACTCAACAGATTTAAAGCCCTCCTCCTAATAGCCAGATATGCCTCCAGCCAAGTTATTCAACTACAGAGTCATGGGAAATACTTACGTACCAATTATGGGAAAGGCATAGTTAATGAAAACTGTATGTTTACTTACATAGTCTTAGTAAGATGGCCTAAACATTCATTGCAGCTGGCATCTTGGCTGAAGCAGAGAACTCCGTGTCTCTCTGTCCCGTCTTCATACTGTAACTGTACACAGTTTGTTTCATTTCAGTTGAAAGGTTTCTTTTCCTCTGAAGAACCTCCATTACATATCTAACTGCAGAACTAGGTTGTACTACTCTGCAGCGGGAGCATTGTTCACTGTGAAAATGGGTACAGGCATTAGAAAGCCTCAGGAATAGCATTCAATAATTTTGAATGAGTTTAAATTCACCTGAATTCATTTGTGAGTTTCACATTGTTACTGGGCCAACAAAAATCTTGTCTGGCTTGACTAACAGTGTGTGCTAGATGTGATTCTAGGCTTCACAAAGTCATTTTAAATTAAAAGTTAATAATAATATATTTTAATGTGCTATACTGGGGAAGATGTACTTTAAACTAAATGTGATATGGAAAATAATAATATCAAAGGAAGGGAAAGAACTTTAAAATGTGTCATCCAGTAATTTCAAACCAATCTGGTCAAAAACAGATTTCCTGATGCTGAGGGTTTCATTGAAAATGTTATATGTCCATTAAAATTGTATTGCAGTATTTTTTCATATTTTGTCCCACTAGTATCCTTAGGTTTTCAGCAATCCTGTATCTTGTATAACATCTGTTCGTCATCACTCTTCAGATAATGAATAGGTGAAGGAAGCTTTTTTTAATCTAAATGAATACTCCTCCTACATCAACTTTTCAGCCCTTAGTGTTCTGCTTTGTTCCTTTATTAGCTGTTAATTTAACCGTAATCTGTCATTCTTAGAGCGTCACCTTTATTATTGGTTAGACTAGAAACTCTGTGCAAGAAAAAGAAAAGTTGTTTTGTCAAACATTTTAGTTCTAGTATGATTTCAGTTCTATTTCTACATATATTTTCTAGCTAATTATGCAACATCGTTAGATTTTGCAGTGTGGTTCACCAACAATTAAAAGAATGCATTTATTAAAAAAAAAACTATACAAAATACATATGTTTGTAAAAATAGTGGACAAAGGTATTAGAGGAACTGGAAATAAACACCCATATAAGGTGACAGACTCAGCCATAAGCCATTCTCTGAGCTTCACACTACACTCCCCTCTCATTTCCAGACCGTAATAATAAGAGTCCTCAGAGGGAAGTTTTCTGAATGAAAGAGGTGACTATGAAAAGCTCTTGGAGCATACTAGTTTACCATTATTGTTTAAATATTAATCTAACAGCAGGATAATTTAGTTCATTCTTCAAATCGGTTTTCATTGTTAATCAGGGTGTGACTGTGATCCGTACAAAGGCAATAACAAATGCACTGTAGTTAGTCAGCAAGAGGGTGAAGCCTGTGCATTAACATGAAGAATCAGCCGGGACATGAAGGCAGCCATTGAAGACAGCAATGCCAGCATCTAATTCCCTTATCCTTCTCTTTTTTATGTGTAATAATGCAAACAATTCATTCTCATCCTGCTTTTAAGATGAAGAAGAAGCTGATGATGCCATATGGTACCCTTTGTATTTTTAAACTTAATGAGAAAAGACATGTATCCACGTGGAGACAAAAGGGGCGAGTGACAAAATGAATGTCATGATATCAGAACACAAATGCTGTTATTTACATACTCATGTCCAAAATTGGGATTACAAGTATGACAGGGCAGGGTTTGTCTCCACTCTTCTGTTCTCATTTTTTCATCATCGCAGCGAGTTCCTGAGAAAAGAGAGGAATGGGAGAAACAACCTTCTTTTGCATCCCGTTTCCTAATTCTGCGCTGAGCTGCTAAACTCACTTGCCCACATCTGAAACATAGGAAATGCTCTTTTGGTTCAAGCCCGAGGGCCATATCATCCTGCTGAGGCTAGTCATAAGCTTCTAGAAACCCAGAAGCAGGGATATGTGGTTACTGGCAGATAAGGTCAAGGAGAAAGGCTGAAGGCTAGAAGGTTGCTCCCAGACATCTCTGGATTTCATATCAAAACGCTGCTGCTGGGGGAAATGCTTATGCTGAAAGCTGCTGCTAACATGGGACTGCACTTCTGTAATTTGTCAGTTAAAGACT